ACTTTGACTAAATGTTTGTATTTTCATGGATTCGAGTTTTTACGATGTTTACTAGGTGTAACAGTTGCTTTAATTTTGGATTTAAACATTTGATGTGTTAAATTGTGACGACTGGGGCACCATTTTGTGACAGGTGGGACAAGTTACATTTGAATACATAGAATTTTAAAAAATACACTGTTTATATGTAGATCCATCATTTGTAAGCAAATATTTTATAATTTTTCTCATAATTAAGATATTTTGACACAAAAAAAAATGAACATTTTTCCTGCTGATTTATAGTATCACGAAATTCACGAAATGTCTGTCTCTACATGTTTGAACTATATGTATATTCGAGTAAAATTTCTAAAATTTAATATATTTCGATATGATACTTACGTATCAAGAATACGAATTTTTCAAATTTATTAACGCATTTTACATGCGTGACTTCGATTTCATGTCGTCGTAGATAGTGTTTCAGGGAAAATAATAAGATTATTTTAAGAGTTCTTTAATTCTGTTTATTTTTGTGTTAAAATGTCTTAATACGACAAAAATTATAAAATATTTGCTTATATTAAACAGTGTAATTTTATTAATTCTGTGTATTCAATTGTAACTCGTCCCACCCGTCACAAAATCATGTCCCACCCGTCACAACTTAACATATTAATTTCCTTAAAATTTATCAAAGTTATTATTGAAGTGTATATACAAAATAGAACTTTAACATTCAAGTTATCACATATGAAAAGCTTGCTGAACAAAATATTAATAGTGTGTCTTGATCTTGGCAATGAAGCCATCAACTCAAACAGGCGGGTGTCGTGAGTGTCCCACCCGTCAAACTTAGAAAATTAAAAATTTTGAGTATAAATAAGGTCTTAAATTTATATTAATAAATAGTCGCGGTTGCGTTGCATATCTTCATGATATTTTCATTTCAAGTCCAATTAACCATTGGTTAGAGAGAAATTACTTAAAAGTTCGAGAAAAAATGAGTCAAAATGCACCCACCCGTCACTTTGGAATGGCCCCAGTGTATTTTATTCATTTTTTATTAGTTGACTCTGCCTAGTCTATGTTATGTACTGTACACACTATATGTTATTGTTCCAACTATGCACTAGTGGATAATTAATTATATTGACCCTAATTTTACCAATGCCTTTAGGTTAAGGATCACTTTTATTATGATGGTTGTTGATATCCTGAATAAAGAAAAATAAAAAATTAAAATAAAATAAAATATAAAGCCGGGTACTCATTAGCGAGCTGTGACTGTAAAGAGACACATACAGTAATGAGGTTCTACGCTTGAGACAGTCTTCAATCAGACGGCTCACTGCGGACCGCTCGCGTTCCGCTCACGACAAGCTCGCGAACCACTTACACGCTATGACTTTTGGTTACGTAACATGCAACGGTTATGGTAACAGCTCGCTTGGGAGTACCCGGTTTTACAGGAAAGCGATATAAAGTAATTTTAAAGAAAAAAAAATCATAATTGTAATTTTAGTTTTTATGTGGATAAGCTGAAGGTTTTTCACATAACAAATAAAATTAGAGTTCTTAGGTTTTCGCTATTGAAAATATTATATGAAACTATTTTTCCGGATTTAAATCGCGTATATTTGTCTTTTCAAACAAACCGACGTTTCGGGCCCTTTACAGGTCCCATGGTCACGGTTGACATTGACAAAATGTCGGTTTGTTTGAAAAAACAAATATACGCGATTTAAATCCGGAAAAAAGTTTCATTTCCTAAATAAAATTAGAGTTATGATTTTTTTTTTAAGAAATACTTTAAATCACTCTTGTGTAATGTTTTCCAAATGCATGTTAGACATTTTACCTTTCCAGTGTCGAATGTGGGACTTCTAGTATCAAACTTTTTGAATTGAAATTAAACTAGGCAGTTGGTTCATGAATAGCACTTATTATCAGCTCAGTACCGGTGATGGTAGGAATTGTCCGAAAAATTGCTGAGCTTTGATAAATAACTTACTCAAGGCTGAATATAATGAGAAACAGGGCTGCAAACATAAGATACTAACAGTAAAGAGTGTCTCGCCAGCTCATGTGGCATCATCTTGGCATAATCAGTGAAGGAAACAAGGAAGGGTGTACGGACTCCATCCACCAACACCACATTTTTGCCAGTGCGATCAGGCAGGGTCTTCTTCTGCTGGGCGGCTGCTCCTACACTAAGCGCTCGACGGGCTGTATCTATGATTCATAGTAATACAAAAGTTAAATGTAAAATAAAGTTAATGACAAAAAAATGTACAATTAATAAAATTTTCCATTCAATTTGCATGTAATAGAATATATATGAAACACAATAATATTGCTAAAAATAAACTCAATTGCTTTTTTAAATTGAGGAGTGTTGGAACGAAAACAGCTAAGTCACATTTTGACTTTTTCTTGCCAAATTGTTGTTTTGTACCTTTCTACGTATAATTTATTTAACTTCAACAGCAACCACTATATCGGTCTTAAGAATATGGCTTCAAACATTCGGATCTGAACTCACATTTGTTTATTGTGACAATGTGACACATTTATTTAATGCGATTAGACGAAATTAGACCCAAATTGTAAAAGTTTTAATTTACGATATTAGACTCATTGCTCCTTAATTGACTCTCCAAATCTGCTTCAAACAATAAGCTATTTATTTGGCAAACCATTTATTTGGCAACAAAAGAATTACACATATGCATATATAATTATTCTAGATATTACATAGTATTGTTCTTATGTGTACTCCAATAATAGGTAAGATATTTATTGAAAACAATTAGAAAATTAGTAAAAGCAATAATCAATATTATTGTAGCAAATCACAGTAGTCGCTACAAATCTCTTTTGTATATGTATATACTTAATAGTCTCTTTAAGTTTTAGTTTTACATTTAAATTCTAAATTTAAACGTGATTATTTTTAGCGCCTTTCGGTTTGCTTTTTGCTTTGATAGCTATGTGTCTTCTTAAATATTATTAAACTGTAAGTATGTTGCTTTGGCCTTGCTCACGCGTTGTTAACCCTTTAACCCATTGATACAGTCCGCTAGAATTATAAGCTCCATGTTATTCAATAATATCTATTAGTAATTATATGTAACAAAAAAGTTTGTTGTATGTACCTACAACATTTTTAGGTTAAGAATTCAAACAAATTACTTGACGGGATTGTGGTATTCATATATTATTAAAGCGCAAACTGAGAAAACATACGTCTTTGATATATTCATAATTAAATACGTGAATGCCAATCTACAGTAAGTAGAGTATCCAGGGTTCAAAGTTTACATCCTGGTTATAAGTATTATCTTTAACATATGAACACTTTAAGAAACAAAAGTGCCATATATGATAATGATTGCACTAGGAACAGAGCCAAAATATATAATATTAACGTAAAAATAATAAAAAAATAGTACATTTACCAAACTTGACGGTCGAACTGTTACGGCTAACTTTGAACACCGATTTTGCTACGTGTGACGCCATTGTTGCTTAAAAACTTTTACTAAATATCACTAGACGTTATGAAGATTTCTGTAACAATATATTATTGCTGAAATGAACAATATTTTTATATAAAAACTTGACAAAACTCGTATAAAGTTGGACTCTGACCTGTCAAAAGATCAGCCACCTCGTTTTTTTAATGTATTGGCTTAGGTAGTCTGGAATGGAATTCAACTTAAGTTTGTAAGAGAAATCAAATAATGACCGAAACTGTTGTAAAAGAAATAGATAAGTAAAGTAGAGAAGACAGAGGAGCCAGCTGATACACATTTGCAATAATAATTAACGTTTAATTTACTCTTGCATGTACAAAACGCAAACATTTGTTAATGAGGGTAGATTTTGAAATCATTCGATGTCGTCCAACACCAAGTTAACTTTTTCTTCCACTTTCACATCTTCCTCCACTTTAGTTGGCACGTACGTGATTTTATTCACATTTTATTTTAGATTTATAATTTATTTTACAATTTCTAAGTAACAATCGTCGATGTTTCAATTAAATTTTTAAAATTATACTTGAGGTAAGTTCAACAAATTTGGTATTTATTCTTCGTTTTACTTGGAATCAATAGTTGGTTTCAGAGACGTGCTTTCGGCCCGCACGGTTGGAAGGCGGCAACTTTATCACGCTCATGCTTTTGATGTGGTCGTTTATTTACACAAACTTTATTCCAAGTTGCGTTTTTGTGTAGCAATTATCTAACTTTAAACGTTTTCAGCTTTCAATATGGAGTACAAATATTCGATATGTATTATATTATGCTGCGTGCTAGTATGTTCTGCGCAGTTCGTGGATGATATGCAGGTATTTTTTTTTATTATCACGTTTTGAAGTACTACTGCCTTGCGTATTTTTCCTTAAATACTTGAAATAACAATAGAAATAAACCATATAGCGCCTTTTCAATACGTTTCCATAAAATGAGGGTGTCCAAGATGGCGGCAAAGGCTCAATTTTACACTGTCGCGGAAGGAATGGCAGCGAATTTTTATGACGAAATTGTACGTTAAGGTTAATATATAAGTTATGTTATATCTAATGATTTTTATGTCAATTTTTTTTGCTACACAATTAACGTGTTACTAGTTCATTATGCTATTCCGCGGTGATGTAATTGAGCAAAAGAGATATTATTATATATATCGGATTGCTTTTCAAGTATTAGGTACAATCTCCAACCAATCCTCTTTTAGAGAATCTTTGCACTGTCCTAGTGAGTAAGTAATATAGAATATGTACATTAGTAAATTATCACTAGATTTACGAGAAGGAATGCTTGGGAGAAGACAAGTTCCAATGCGAAGACGGCGGGTGCATCTGGCAGCATCAGTATTGCGATGGAAGCAAAGATTGCGAAGATGGCTCGGACGAGGCTTTGTGTAGTGAGTGCTTTTATCGGTATTTTTCTTATGACAAGTGACTGGACAAAAAAGTAGGTTCACAATTCGACTGTTCTTTTCGTGTGTTTGTTACGGGATTACTCCGACACTGATGTCAACCGATTTCGATTACTTTTTTGTTGTAAAGGGGGTGCCTCTGTGGTCCCATTTGAGTATGAAGAAATTATTCTCTCCTCTACCTCTAAGGGTGGCAAATTAGGGGATGAATCCGGTTTATTGGATTTCAACCACTTTCCGTTAGCCGATTTTAATAAAACTTTGCAAATACATAGACGTAATTCAGCAAACGTATGAGGCCGGTTCTTTAAAATAAAAAAACTTATAATTATTTTAAATAGGGAACGGATGAAAAATAAATAGAAAATGATCATATTAGGATTTCAAATAAATACATAAATTACATGAAATAATGTGCTGTTCCAATCGTGTTTGATTTCGCGGCACAAGGATGTATTTATTTAACAATCTCAGTACAGAGTACTAAAAAAACCGACCTCAATAGTTATTCATCTCCTAGTTTGCCACACTTAGAGGTGGAATATGTTCTTCAAATTTAAGTAGGACCACTACTGAAGTACCTTTCCAATAAAAAAGAATCATCAAAATCGGTTCCCAAATGCCGCCAGAGTTTTCGCGTAACATACAAAAAATTTACAGACGAATTGAAAATTTCCTCTTTTTGAAGTCGGTTAAACAGATAAAGAGATAAAGTAAAGTGAAGTTTATAACAATATAGTAATTTTCGGTATGAGCATTAATTATAGTAATTTGCTCTGATATTGATTTTTTACATATACATATGTATAGTAAGTCGTTCTACTTGTGATTTTTTTTATGATACCATCTGACGAGCTGAACAAGTCGTACTCATGGTGGTAAACAACACGCTTGTTCATAACAGTTGCAGTGCCACTCAGAGCTCTAGATCACAGAGATATGAGAGGCGCTGCCACCGCGCCCGTCGTCGGCGTCATCACCCTGAGACATAAGTTGACTAGATTTTAGAAAAATCACTGCATTATTTGTAGGTTTTTTTCTAAACTTGCCGATGTAGAACCTATTCAAGAGGATCCAAGTACATATTATGTAACAACTGTAAAATCTTTTAGTGGAAACCGCATCAATACCAACGCGGGAAGAATGCGCAAAACTTAATAAGTTCATGTGCTGGGATGGCAAACGCTGCATACCGAAAGTTTTAATTTGCGACAACGAGAGGCATTGTGACGATGGAAGCGATGAAGCCAATTGTACGCACCCAGTGGAAAATAAAAATGTACGTATATTGCTTGGTCCCGGAATGCGGAAACGTAACAATACTCATCTATTTACAATTGATCATCTATCATCTTTTTTTTAACGCACACACTCATAGCCTCGCCCTACGGAAACCCTGTGTCGCGTGTGTGCGTTAAAAAAAAAGGAAGAAATGTAACAGTTGCACGTATTAAGCTCAAAAGTGCAAAACGAAGTGGAGTATACAATGTTATTAATTGTAAAATGCTATCAACGTCGCTAGGCTATACAATTACTAACATCATAAACAACATATTTTTCACCTCACTGGCTCAGAAAGGCTTTTTCTCGTAAGAAATTTACGCACAAAAGTGTTTTCTCACGCTGGCGCAGAGTGGGCCCAAATTGATAATTCTTGGACATAAGAATAACTTGTGGAATATCGAGCTAATTTTTATATGATAGATAATAACATTCCTAACAACTTTTATTCTTGTATAATTTCTTGAGTTGATAGTTTCGGGAATTTTTTTTTTGTTTTGTATGGAGAAATATACATTTTATTTTTTATCTCAAAATATACGAAAATTTAATGTGTGTGTGTTACTTACAGTATAGTTCCAATCATTTTCTATGTAAAAAAAATAATCCGTCTGTATGTACTTGCGGCTTTGTAAGTACCTAAAGGTGGGGCAAAATTGCTAACTTTTTCATGTACTTTTTTAACAAAATACAGGTATCTTATTATTTATCATATGAAAAAAATCAGCTCTGAATTCCTAAAATTGTTCTCATGATTAAATAATAATTGATAATTCTTGACCATAGGAATAACTTGTGGAGTACCGAGCTAATTTTTTTTTTATGTGATAGATAATAACATTTGTAACAACTTTTATTCTTGTATAATTTCTTGAAAAGTTGATAGTTTTAAAGAAAAAAAAAATATTTTTTTTATGGAGAAGTATACATTTTATTTTTTATCTCTTAATGTAGGAAAATGTAATGTGTGTGGTTTATTTACAGTATAGGTCCAATCATTCTCTATCAAGAAACAAATAATCCATCTGCAGGTACTTGCGGCTTTATAAGTAAAGGAGCGAAAAATTAGCTCGATACTCCACAAGTTATTCCTATATCCAAGAATTATCTATTTGGGCCCACTGTGTGACGCGTGGAAAAGGTTTTTGGAAATCGAACATAACGATGGTCTGAGGTGCACCTAACTTTTTCTTTCGATGAAAAAAAACAATGATACGTTCAACTACCCGATTTGTCGTACATTATCTAAGTAATATATGTATTTATTTTGTATATTTTATTCTTATTATTGTTGACATTAAATTGACACTGATAACTAATTTTGTTTGTTAAATCAAAACTGATTTGTAATAGTTCAACTGTTTTACTTTCTTCTAATTTTCCTCGTTATAGTGAGGTGAAAAGTTGTGTGTTTCGCTCGGCAGCAAAGTTGTTTTGCGTGTCGTGGCTTGAAAACCTCGTAACGCTCAGTATTGTATTTTTGAATTTTAGGTTCCTTCGCTTGCTCACTCAGGTTTCAATACAAGCACTCGTGTCAAATAACAACTTTGCATCCTTGCAAAACAAATAACTATTTGTTGACCAATGAAATGAAATTATTTATAACATCAATGTTTTGGTGCCGTAGGCTAGCTGCAAAGGCTTTCGATGCGTAAGCGACGGCAAATGCATCTCTAGTGTATGGGCGTGTGACGGAAAATACGACTGTACCGATCAGAGTGACGAAGATATTACCACATCATGCTGTGAGTACTGTTAAGACTATTTTTCACCCCATGGTGTAATAAGGTCACATCTGCAAAATGACACCATTTCAGGGGAGAGGTTTGAAGATTTCACGAACGAAATTATTGTAACTTTTTTATAGTTGGTTTGGAGAGTTATAAAATTCCACATATATACACAATTTGGTTCATGTAGTTGCTTCATTTCAAAAAACTAACTGAAATTTAACAAAAGAAACTAAATGTGGAACTATCTTTTAACAATATGCGCGATACGTACACGCAACTACAGCGTGTCTGCGGCGTGTATAAAGTACGCCGTGTGCATAGGCTGCGTTCATTTTTTTTTTCAATTTATTATTTAACGGATACGTCAACAAAGAACGTGTCTGGTCTTTTCTTTTTTATAGTTAAAATTGAAATTCTCACAGGACATTGGCGAAATCGCCATTTTTTTTGTATAATTTTTATAATAATATTAAACTACCGTACATAGTTATTTTTACTTGACATTGGCAAAATCATTGATTATTTCGATGGAGCCATAACATTTAAAAGAAGAAGAAGATAGTTAAAATTTATAATCTAAAGTTAATAATTGGTGAAATTAACTTATCTACTAAAATTCATATTTATTTAGGGTCATGTCTTCTCAAACAGACTTGTTGTTACTTGTTGACTTGAGCTCTTACGAAATTCTGCTTTTCACTCCGAGTGCCAAAGTCAAGGTAGTCTAAATTGGTGCGAAGAGAATAGATCTTTAATTTCGTATCGTTGAACTAAGAACGTTCGTTAAATCTTTATGGGAGCTTCCTGATACTGTGACAGAAAATTCTCGAATTCGTATGACGATGACGCCCAACCAATAATAGTAATGTTCTCTATTAGACGACTTCTTAAATGTTTCGCGATTTACAATCATTGCAATCACATTAATCTTTTTCTTTCAGTGCATGTGACTCGTGATGAATATATAACAGAGTATCTGGTTCTACAACCCCAACTGAACTGTTATCAGTGTCACGACTATTCGTATTGCCTGAGACCTGAACGCATGTGTGATGATGTACCGGACTGCAGAGACGGAAGTGACGAGGGACCATTCTGTCACAACTGTAAGTATAATCATTTCATTTGCATATCTGTGCCTATTATATATGTATGTAACAAATAGTATAGTTGTCTTAACTTACGTTTTTCCGTAAGACGCACGCGATTTTGTCGTCTTATGTTCTGTGTCAATGGACAAAAAATACAATATCAGTCGTCTGTTTCCTACAATACACATTTACTCGATTTTATCTGATCACACGTGCTGATCGACAAAAAATGCTATATGGATCGTCTGTTGTGGCAACACATTTACTCGTTTTGTATTATCTCACATGACAATAATTAAAAAGTTGATCAAATCTGTAGGCACCATGCCAAATCTTATGAAATTCTATTTGATACAAACAATGCTATTAGCATTAATTAGGACAATTTCTCAAAAAGCGTTACTTTTCGAATTTCGAAAAATTATTGGGAATGCGATGTATTGTAATATCATTTATTTTATTTATTTCATGAACTTGGATTTAAGCGGGAGATAATAAATATAGAGAGTAATATTGAAAAGTATTAGCATACCCATATCTATAGGTATCTTGTATGAAAATAAAATAAACCTCCGGACATTTGAGCAGTTTATTTTGAAGCACAGACCGCATAACTACTAGTAATCACATTCGTATATTTCTAATTAAGTAATTATAAATAATGTTCACAGTATGTTACATACAAGTTTCGATTGAGCTCTTCTAAAGAGGCTATATCACACTTATTTGAATCACAACTTAGAAGCAGGCAGAAGTTGCGGTATCACGAACAAAATATTTCTAGTGATGTCTTCTCGACGCTACTATATTCGATAACTTTTCAATGCATCTTTACGTGACAAATAACTTTGATAAGTGCATAGAAATCGAATCAATTAAGAAAGTTTTTTCTTTAATAACATATATTTATTAAGAAGACGGGCAGCAGCGTCATCTACCCATCTTGGACAGAACTGTGATCGGCAACCCGCCTGCCAAGCGTCCCCGCATGGCAACCCCAAACTCAGGGTACATACACCAAAGTAGCGGCTTTGCAAAGAATCCCCGGGAGAGACCCGGGTACCATCAACGATGACGACTGGATCTGGCAACCTACAACACGCGCACATTGAGGACTGACGCAAAGCTCACAGAATTGGAAGAAGTTATTAGTAAGTTACGCTGGGATATCATTGGGCTATCTGAAGTCCGAAGAGAGGGGAAGGACTCGATAATCCTTAACGATGAGCTGAGGGTGGGGCAATTTGGAGTTGGACAACGGAACGTCAGAGACCGGATGTTGGTTGATTTTATGGAAAAGTACTTATTTATATTTGTACTTATTAAGTACTTATACAAAAACGCAACTATGTCAGTCCGATTACAGGATCAGAGCTCTAATCCAACTGCAACGAGGCATGAGACAGGGAGATGTGATATCTCCGAAACTATTCACTGCTGCGTTGGAGGATATTTTCAAGCTTCTGAACTGGAAAGGACTTGGCATCAACATCAATGGCGAGTATCTAACACACCTTCGATTTGCCGATGATATGTTTCTTATGGCTGAGACCTTGGGAGACCTGAACACAATGCTCGAAGATCTCAGTAGTTTCCCAAAGAGTGGGTCTTAAGATGAACATGGACAAGACGAAGACCATGTCGAATGTCCATGTTGCACCCGCTCCAGTTAAAATTGGGAGCATTACACTCGAAGTTGTTGACCATTACGTATACCTGAGGCAGACGGCCCAGTTAGGTAATTCCAACTTTGAGAAAGAGATCTGTCGTCGAATCCAGCTCGTATGGGCAGCGTTCGGAAAACTACAAAAAATCTTTGCACCCAAATTACCTCAGTGTTTCAAGACGAAAGTCTTTGACCACGTTGTTGCCAGTGATCACGTATGGATCAGAGACGTAGTCCCTCACTATGGTGCTCATAAGAAGGCTCATGGTCACACAGCGGGCAATGGAGAGAGCGATGCTCGGTATTTCCCTACGTGATAGAATCAGAATGAGGAAATCCGTAGGAGAACTAAGGTAACCGACATAGCTCGAAGAATTGCTATGCACTTAGCTAGGAGAACCGATGGCCGTTGGGGCGGAAAGGTTCTACAATGGCGACAGCGCACCGGACGACAGTCAGTGGGTAGGCCCCCCACCAGGTGGACCGACGATCTGGTAAAGGTTGCGGGAAGCCGATGGATGCGGGCAGCGCAGGACAGATGGTCGTGGAGATCGTTGGGGGAGGCCTATGCAGTGGGCGTCGTATGGCTGAATGATGGTGATGATGATGAATATTTGCGCATAAAAAGTTATCGACTAATTTTGTTCGTAGAATTTTGAAACTTGTCCTAAAAATTTGTCACTTCGATGCCTTACTTTCTCAAACTCGTATCTTATATAGAGTGATTATTCAGAAGATGGCAAAACTTTCTATTTATTTGAAATTTCTTATCAGGAGTGTTAATTTAGATGCATTACTTTAAGAATGGTAACAGTCATTGTGTAAACATGAAGGAAATGTGATATGAAATCATCCTGCAAATTGTTAAGACGATCCATTTAATTGACTTAAGATACGAAATTGAGAAAGTAAGGCGACGATTTGTTGTCTTATGTTGTAATAAGAACAAGGGTACAGTTTATGGCCGTTTATATTCAAAACTTAATCAATACGTACTACACACAATCTTAGGACTTACAAACCCGATAATAAATATAAACTACTAAACATGAATATAACAAATAATAATAAAAAACAGGTAATATAAAAATTAATTAAAAACATTTAATAGATAAACTTATAGACAACGAGTCCTGTAGGGCTCGGCCTGCGGCGCGTGGTCGGTTTCAGTTTACGGGGTGTGCTCATGCTCTTCGGTGGCACAGCAGTTAGTACTATGGGCGCTTGATGAGGAGGTCGATTCCCGATTTATGCCAATTTAAGAAACGAACATTTCTAAGTTGGTTTTGGTCTGAGTATTCTGGGTTATCGTTGCTTTGGTATTCATAGTACCACCTACATAGGAAATCGGCAGTAGTTTGGCATTTTTTCCTCCTAAATACTCCTCTTTAGCATAGCTTTCAAGAAAATGAAATCTAACATAGAGACGGTTGAGATACAACAACGCTATAATAAGTATCTCATTTCCACTACATCGGGAAGCATGCTTTACATTTTTACAATTGTGAGATCTTGTACTCGTAATCTATTACATCTCCGCTTCGCCCTCCGCGGACCTCGGCACTTATGGCTTTGTTTTAAAAAAATTGAAATAGCTCTTTAATGGCGGCCCAAATTGCAAAAATATATTTTGACCACTAATTATTATCAAACAATCTTAGAAATCTATTCGTGCCAATTTTCAGTCCGAGCAAAGAAAGTTTTTTCAATAGCCATTTACATAAAAAATTACGGCTATATCGAAAAACGGCAGAAACAAAAGGTTTACCCCAAATTGTGATTGAAGTCATGCCATTTTCAGTCGAATTAGAAGAAATTTCTATCTACCGCCAAAAAAGTTTGTATGGCAACCATGAAAAAAGGCAAAAAATAAATTTCGACCGCAAATTATTATCAAACACCTATAGAGATCCCCACATATTTATATTATATATAGATTATTTATATATAGATTTTCAGTTGAATTAGAGCTAATTTTTATTAGATGTTGAATGGCGGTCATATAAAAAAATGGCGTAAAACCATTTTTGATCACAAATTATTATCAAGCATTCCTAGAGACCCACACACACCAATTTACAAAAGGGATCAGAGCATTTTTTTTTCTGCCGCCAACTGCATATTTGAAAATGGTGAAAAACCAATTTTGACCACAAGTTATTATCCGGCACTTCGCATGCCAATTTTCAGCCGAATGAGAGCAAGTCCGTTTCGACAGCCACTTTTGACGAAAAAAACGCTTATATGACTGCCATATTAAAAAATGGCGAAAAGAAACTTTTGACAGCAAATTCTGGTTAAGGACTCCTAAAGCATACCAATTTTCAGCCGAATCGAAGTAAGTTTTTCTTCGGCCGCCATTTTGAATTCGCCATCTTGTTTTTTTTAACCCAGGCAGTTGACCACTATTAATCTCTGACATTCCTTCGAGCACTATCTCTAATAGTTTCCGTGATAGGAGACTTTGATGTTTGTATGGCGGCCATCTTATTTATTTGAATTTCGAACATTTTTTACTTCCGGCGGAAATTGACCAGGGTGTACCTCATAAAAGTGCATAAATATTCCCTCCATATATTATAATTTTTGCAGGCCGTTGATCACTCTTTCATATTTTCCACATTTAGGTCTTCTCATATTTGATTCTTTGGAATCTATCCGCGTACAACGGTATAAATATCTTTTTTCCACCATATCGGGAAGTATGCGTTCTATTTCTATCAGTGAGTAAGAACTTGTAGCTTTATATATAATATATAATGGAGAATACATCTTACAAGTTTAATTACGATATCTGTCGACGTATCACTAAGACTAAACATTTATAAGATTGTTTGATTGATACTTGCTTACTTATAATGTGATATCTAGGTATTAATATGTTTGGATTATCTTAAGATAAACAGGATTTTAGCTAGAGTTTCAGCACTTTGGCTATCATTAAATAGTTGACACCACTTATCTCCAAGATATAACTACAAAAATATAGACCTGTCCTGTAGCATCCTTCAAAGCTATCTATTCGGTCTCTGCTGATATTTCAGCATAAGGTTCTGGATGTCAACGAAACAGGACTATTCGTTTATTCGAAATGATAGCGTGTACTTATATATCTTTAGCTAAATCCTCACCTGTATGTCCGACAAGTTTTTCTTATTTCCTATAAACAATTGAATAATCTTTGTCTACTTAAAGGTCTTAAAGTATTAGAGAACACAATTAGTTTCTTATGTATACAAGATTGATTGTTTTTTTGCTAAATTTTTATTAAATTTTCACTCATCACTTATTCAAAATTTAGGTGCCTCTCTGTGTGACGGAAAAAGTCCTTCCTTATGTGTACTGGAGC